TAATTTCTTTCTATTTTTTTTTTTTTTTAATGGAGACTAGGTCTCACTCTTCCTCTGGCTGGTCTCGAACTCCTGAGCTCAAATGATCCTCCCACCTCAGCCTCCCGGAGTGCTAGGGTTATAGGCATGAGCCACCAAGCCTGGCCAAGTTTGTTTGTTTGTTTGTTTGTTTTGAGGTAGAGTCTCCCTGTGTTGCCCAGGCAGTATCACTTGCAGTGGCGTGATCATAGCTCACTGCAGCCTCAACCTCCTGGGCTCCAGCAGTCCTCCTGCCTGAACCTCTTGAGTAGCTACAGGTGTGTGCCACCACAGCTGGGTAACTTTTGTTGTTGTTGTTGAGATGGGGGTCTTGCTTTGTTGCCAGTCTGGTCTCAAATTCCTGGCCTCAAGTGATCCTCCTACCTTGGCCTCCCAAAGTGCTAGGATTACAGGAGTGAGACGCAGTGCCCAGCCACAGGCAGTTTTTAATCTTATGAAGTCCAACATGTCACTTTTTTCTTTCATGATCATGGTTTTTTTGTGCTGCTCCTTTTTTATGTGAATAAAATTACATGTTTTAAGAAGTTAGTTTTAATTTGGGCTATTGTTGAATCAGCAGCTCGATGAGCCTGTTGAATTGTGGTTACTTTGATCTGTTTCCTGGTGGAGCTCTCTGGGTAGTGTGCACTCTAGTTTTCTTTTTTTGGCATTGATTTAAATGGCATTTAAATTCAAGCGATTTTACTTTTAGCATCTAAAATCACACTATTGGTGAATGACCCTCTGGTGTCTCCGCAATGATGGCATACTACTTTAAACTTCATCTTAAATGTTTGCTCTTCTGATAAGCAGAAAGATGTTTTGCTTTTTAAATATTAGCTAAACAAATCAGTTTATTTAATTGGCAAGTAATATTTCTTCATCTATTGGACCAACTTTCTCTTACAGATTAAGAAGGAAATCTACACTCAATAGTGATAGTGACGCCTAACGTACTAATACTTTACCCTTGGCTTTTTTTTCCGTTGTAATTTTGCTTATGGTGGGTGGTAGTTTTGTTTGTTTCTAGTCAGTTAATCTTTTTCTTCAGTTTCTGATGTTGCTGTTATACCTCATACCAAGATTTTGAAACTTTTTACACATTGGCCTTCTTTTCCCTGTTCTTTCCTCATGCTTAAGGCTTCAATCCAGATGGAATTTATTTTGGTGTGAGCAGGTAGAAAATGATCGGTTCTTTCTAGATTCCTTAGTTAGAATGTATATACATGTACCTGTTTTTCAGATGAATTCAAATAAAACTAACTGTAGAGAAATGTCAGGGACCTTGACGTAGCCACAGTCTAACATGTGATTGTGGAAAGAAATGGGTGCCAGAGAGCTCTGATGAAACTAGTAGCTTGTCCAGGGAGGATTTGAGAGGGAAAACCCATCGCCCTCTGGAGTGTTAATGTGTGCAAATCAAGTATCAGCAGCTCAGTGTATGTGGTGGAAGAGCAGCTTTCTTTGTATTCACCTTCAGTTTATTGTGGTCTAAATTTTGATCTCTGGCTTGGGTAGAAAGAATGCAGAATATCCTTTCTGACAATGACATTTGGTTTCTACCTGTTTAGTAAACCTTTTTGGTGTAAAATAATGTTCAATCTTGTCTAACAATGACTTTGGAAAGCAAACTCTTCTCAAACTTTAGCCAGAGCTAAATATATTCTTTCAATATACTAACAATTCTTATGTGTATGTTAAAACAAATTCTGGACTTGTTTGCTAAATCTTAAATTGAGATTGGGACTGGAAAATCCTTTCCTGGAAGAGATGGTAACTGAGTGCAGTGGCTCTATACGTGTAATCCCAGCACTTTGGGAGGTAGAGGTGGGAGGATCAACTTGAGCCCAGTTCAAGGGTATAGTGAGCTCTGATTGTGCCACTGCACCCCAGCCTGGAAGACAAAGTGAGCCTGTCTCTTTAAAAAAAAAAATAAGGAAACAAAAATAACAAAAAACTTTCTTCTGTACTTTTATACTGACTAATGAATTCATATACTCCCAAACTTAACATGCTATTTAATATGCCAGTGTAACTACTTTTACTTTCTATTTATTTTATTGTTCAGGATAACTTTTTCCCCTGATAATCCTGAAGTAAATTTTTAGTTTCAAACAAATCCTTTTGTTGCAGAATGATCTTGGTTTTTAAAATGGGAATTGACTGCACCTAAAGTAGTTATTTATTTATTTATTTTTAAAAAAGACAGTCTCGCTCTGTCGCCCTGGGTACAGTGTATTGGCATTATCGTAGCTTACTGCAACTTCAAACTCTTGGACTCAAGGGATCCTTCTGCCTCAGCCTCCCAAGTAGCTGGGACTATAGGTGCGCGCCACAACACCCGGCTAATTTTTCTACGTTTAACTAGAGCTAGGGGCTTTTTCTATTTTTAGTAGAGACGGGGTCTCGCTCTTGCTCAGGCTGGTCTCGAACTCCTGAGCTCAAACAATCCGCCCGCCTCGGCCTCCCAAAGTGCTAGGATGACAGGCGTGAGCCACCATGCCCGGCCGGATTTATGGGTTTTTGAGGGGAAGATTAGAGGTAAAGTGCATTCTCAGGAAGGTAATCTCTTAACATGACTTATCACTGTGGGTGTTAAGCTTGGTCCCTTGACTTGAGGTAGCGTTAGGTTTCTCCACTGCAGAGGGACTGTTTTTTCCCCTTTCCATACTGTATTCTTTCCAAGGAAGTTACCAACCATAGCCCACTTCTGAGGGCCGAAGAGTGGGTGGAGTGCTTATATAAATTGTCTGGATTCTGTACCAGAGCTTTGGTCTCCTTCACTCAATCACTTACTTAAAAATGTGGACTCATGAGCAGTTATTTTATGCTTTGAGTTATGATCCACTACTACTTTGTGGCTCAAAGCATTGCAACTTTGGCCACTGGAAGCTCTCTCTTTTACGTGGTTTCTGTGTAAACCTTCGTTGTGCTTTGGTTTTGTTCTCTTTCCCTTTGAATTCTTTAGTCACAGTCTGCATTCCATTCTGGGATCCCCTGGATGGGATCTTCTAAATTTGCATATACTGAGATTCACTTTCTGTGGTGTAAAGCTCTACTGACTTTGACAAATGCATAATGTCACGATGTATCCCTACAGAATAGTTAGACTGCTTTAAAAAAAAAAAAAAATCCCGTGTCTCAACTACTCAACCCTTCTCACCCCCAATCTCTGGCAACCACTGATCTGTTTACTGTCTCTATTGTTTTGCCTTTTTCAGAAGGTCACATAATTGGAATCATAATATGTAGCCTTTTTAGATTGGCTTCTTTTACTTAACAATCAATGTGCATTTAAGATTCATCTGTATCTTTTGGGGAGCTTGACAGTTTATTTCTCTTTCACACTGACTCATATTCTCTTGTATGGATGTACCTCAGTTTTTATCCATTCATCTATTGGAGGGCATCTTGGTTGATTGTGGTTTTGGCGATTACAAATAAAGCTGTTATAAACATTTGCATGCAGGTTTTTGTAGAGACATAAATTTTCAGATCATTTGGATAAATACCTAGGAGTGCTATTGCTGGCTTGTGTAGTAAGAAGTATGTTTAGCTTTGTAAGAAACTGCCAAACTGTTTTCCAAAGTGGATGTGCCATGTTTACATTCCAACAAAGTGAATGAGAGGTCATATTGCTCCTCATCCTGGCAAGCTTTTGATGCCAGTGTTTTGGTTTTTAGTCATTCTAATAGGTGTGTGGTTGTATCTCATTG